GATATCTCAAAGTTGTTTTGTGAAGAAAGTTTTTGATGAGCTCAGAGATTTAATCTTTAGAAGGTCTCATTCATAAATTTTGCCCTCTCCAGATTGTGCATTTCTGGCTGTATTTGGCAATCTCTTTGTACCATATACTAAGCTTTCTAAGACTGCTCCCAGTTTGTCTCTGATGAATTTTATGGTTTTGGGCTTTACTCCCAGGTCTCTGATTCACCTTGAGTTGATTTTTGTGTATGGTGTGAGATGTAGGTACTGTTTCAGCTTTCTGCAGTTAGCAGTCCAATTTTGTGAGCACCATTTGTTGACGAGGTTGTCATTTCCCCATTTCATAGGTTTTACTTCCTTGTTGAATATCTGCTGACCATAGATGGGGGGTCCATTACTGGGTCTTCAATTCGGTTCCATTGTTCTATGTGCCTGTCATTGTACCAGTATCATGCTGTTTTGATTACTACTGCTGTGTAATAGATTTTGAGTTCAGGGAATGCAATGCTTTCTACTTCATTTTTGTTTTTCAGAAGTGCTTTGCTTATTCAGGGTCTTTTTCTTCTCCAAATAAACTTGCCAATTTTCCTTTAAATCTTGAAAAAGGAAATTGGTATCTGTATTGGAATTGCATTGAACATGTACATTGCTTTTTGGTAGGATTGACATTTTCACAATATTGAGTTTTGCTATTCATAAACAGGACACATTTTCCCATTTATTTAGGAATTTTATTGTGTTCTGCAGAAATATTCTATAATTTTCTTTGTTCAGGCCTTTTGTATCTCTAGTTAGGTTCATTCCCAAATATCTCATTTTTGGTTGTCTATTATAAATGGTATTGCTTTCTTTGTTTCCTTCTCTGAGTTCTCTCTGTTACTGTAGAGGAATCCCACTGATTTTTATATATTGATCTTTTATCCTGCCACTCTGGTAAACTGGTTTACTAGCTCTAAGAGTTGTTGTTGTTTTTTTGTTTCTGTTTTTTAGGTTGAGTCCTTGGGGTTTTCTGTGTTCACTATCATATCATCTGCATACAGCAATAGTTTAACCATCTCTTTGCTGATCTGGATGCCTTTTATTTCCTTCTCTTGTCATATTCCAGAACACTTGGTTGTGCTTATGCAAAACCTATACTTAGACCAGAAAGCAGTCTTCAGAAGAGAGTAGGGAAACACTACCTGGTTCAAAATAAAGAAAGAAGAGTGTAAGGGTTGCATCCTGTCCACATACCTTTTCAATCTATATGCAGATCAGATCATTTGGGAAGCAGAGCTTTATGAGGAGGAATGTGGCATCAGAATTGAAGGAAACTTCAACAACAACCTATGTTAAACAGATGACACAATCTTGCTTGCTGAAACTATGTTTGCTGCAGAAAGACAAGGACTGTAGTCTTCAATATGGATTGAAGCTCAACATCAAGAGGACAAAGATTCCCACCATTGGGCCAACTGGCAGCACCATGACAGATGGTGAAGATAAGAGATTGAGGTTGTTGACAATTATAGCTTGTGTGGCTCCACAATCAACATTCTTGACACCAGCAATCAGGAAATCAAAAGATGAATTGCAATGGAAAAATGTGCTATCAGGGACCTTTTGAGAGTACAATTCCCAATGTAGAGACTAAGGTGCACCTAATCCAGGGCACGGTCTTCGCAATTACTTGCTCTGCATCAGAGAGCCAGACAATGACTAAGGATGACAGAAGAAGAATCGATTCCTTCAAATTGTGGTGCTGGAGAAGAATCCTGAACATACCATGAACTGCCAAAAAACAAATAGGTCTGTCTTTTTGTTGTTGACTGCTGCTGAGGTGAGCATGATTCATAGCGATCCTATGAACAAAAAGCTTGAAGACTTTCTGTACCTAATATCATTTATCAAAGTTCATAGACTTTCCAGAGGTATGCTGTTTAGGTTTGTTATGAGTCGTGATCAACTAGATGGCAATCAACAACAACATATCTAAATATATATACACACACATAAACACATTCTTTGAAGAAATGTTCTTTGCCTAATTGGGGATAACAGTGTAGCTTCTTACCAGTAGGCCACCAGAATTCTTGTCTTTGCCTATTTTTAAATGTAACTGTCACTTTATTATTGTGATGAATGAGTTCTTAATATATTCTAGATGCATGTCCTTTATCTAATATTTAATTTGAAAATATTTTCTCTCATTCTGTGGACTAACTTGATGATGAATTTTGCACCACAGAACTTTCAATTTTAGTCAGTCAAATATATCTATTCTTTTTTTTTTGTTGCTCATGCTTTTGTGTCATAGTCTGTCCACTGCCAAGTCCTAACTTAATTTCAGTGTCTTCTGTCAAGAGCTTTACAATTTTAGCTCTTACGTTTAGGAATCTGATTCACTTCTTATAAATGATTTCATTTTGGGTGGGAGGTAAGGGTTCAATGTCATTCTTTCACACACAGCTATCCAAAACTATTTGTTAAAAAGCTCCCTTTCCCCCACTGAATGGTCTCTGTACCCACTTAGACAATTGGTGGATCACAGAAATCTTAACTGTAGTCCGTTCATATAAGGAGACAATTCTTTCATCAGAACCTTATTGTACTCATTACTGTTATTTTGTATTAAGTTTTGAAATCAGAATGAGAATTTTTCTACTGTGTTTTTTTCAAGACTATGTTTGTTTTTTTATGGAATTATAAAGATTCCATGTGAATTTCAGAATCAGCTTGTCATTTTTTAAAAAGTAGCCAACAGGGATCTAACTGTATTACAATATAAAGATAAATTTAGGAAGACTATAATTCTAACAATATTAACTCTTCTAGTTAATGAACATGGGATGTCTTGCCATTAGATGCATCTTTTAATTTTTTTCAACAGTGCTACACAATTTTCTACATAAGGTCTTGCAATTAATTATATGGTTAAACTTAGTCTTAAGATGTTTATGAATGGAATAACTTAATTTTATTTTTTAATCATTCACTTAAAGTGTATTTCTGATTTTTGTAAACAGATATTATATTATGTAATCTTATTCATTTTTTTTTACTCATTTCAGTAGTTTTAGTGAATTGTCTAGTATTTTCTTTATTCATGTTATCTGTAAATAAAGGTACTTCTAATTCTTCTTTTGGGGATTTATTTATTTCTTTTGCCTGTCTGATTTCCTTGACCAGAATCTCCAGAGTAATGTTGATCAGAATTGGTCTCAGTGGAAATGCTTGTCTTGTTCTTGATCTTTGGGGGAAAACAGCCAATCTATCACCATCCTTGCCTCTAAGAAGCACCCTAGTGGCACCTCCTCCAGGACAGACATGCTTGCACTTTTGATGATCCATAGGATATTAGCATTTTTCTCCAAATACCACAATTCAAAGGCATCAATTCTTTTCTGTCATCCTTATTCAATATCTAACTTTCAAATGCATAGGTATCACACAGACTCAAACTTAATGTCTTTAACCCCTTGTCTCACCCTTGCCTGATGACTTGATGCCAATTAATCACTATAATCCATGGAGCTACTAAAGTAAAACCCCTAGGGGTTTCATTTTACTCCTTGTCCTCTTTGTACAAATAATTAAGTAGAAAATCTTCTAATTTTAACATCTTTTAATTTCTTCTCATTTTTGTTTATTTCTTCCAATTTCAATAGATATTCAACATTAACATCTCTACTTCCACTAGGGAGAAAAATTTCCATATCCTTTCTTGTCTCTCCCAGCCAGTTCATTTTCCATACTGCTGCCACAGTAATCTTTTCACTATATTGCTCAACATACTTGGATTTTAGCCAATTACTTTAAGATAAAGTCCAAACTTATTAACGTGATATTCAAAGTCCTTTAAAGTCTGACTTCCATACTTTTCCTTACCTTTACTCACTCTTACCTATTTCATCTTTCAACTCAAAAACTCAACTCTTTGTTGTCAAGTTGGAACTGACTCATGGATGACCCTCCAGTGAGATTTCAGAGGCTGTAACTCACACAAGAGTCTGTCTATCTCCTAAGGAACAGCTGGTAGCTTCAAGCCACCTGCCTTGGGGCTGGCAACACAAATCCTTACCCAGCAGGTCACCAGAGCTTCCTATCCTACTTTTAGTTATACTAAGTGATTCTACAGACCTGTCATTTTCCTATATTCCATATTTTAACGAAGTTAAACAAACTGGACTTTCTGAAATATAGTCTCTCACACATTACAAATATTGTTTATCTTTAAACATTATAACCTATTATATTTACAGGGGAGTTCTCGTGGCTTAATGGTAAAGAGTTACACTGTCAGCCCAAAAGCATGTGGTTTGCATCCACCAATAGTTCTGCAGGAGAAAAAGGGGCAGTTTTCTGCTGTGTGATTCACTGCCTCTGACAACCCACTGAAGGATCAGCTTTGAATCAGTTCTGACTTGAAAGTCCCCAACAACAACAACAATATATTTTCAAGATGGAAATATAGTGTTTCATTCAAGAGACAATAGATAAATGAACCTGGCTTCTGGATATATGCTGGTAGAACTATTAGCAGTATAAAAGATAATGTTACCAGTATCTACTATTTGTTAAGCATAGTGTGCATTCTTCTACATGTATTATTTCTATTTCTTATAACAACTTTACAAGATTATCTATAATTCTAATTGTACTGATCCCTCAAAAGATTCAGAGATATTTATTTAAGACCAAAGGGCTAATGAACATATTCTGGGTTTTTTAACTTGTATCTATTTAAAATTAATGTTCTTTTCATTATACCATGCAATCATTGGTTTTGGATAGATTAAGGAGATAAGAATGGAATGCTAGATTAAAGATTACTATGTAAGAGAGGCCAAGAATAAAGTTGTAAATACAGAATTTTTAGTCAGTAATCAGTGAGGAGTCATTTAATGAATACTGAATGACTTGGTTATTCTAGTAAACATTGTTTTAGGAAAAAGAATATGTTAATAATGTACTACTCATCAATTGATTAGAGGAAGAACTGATAGGAATGAAAGTTAGTTAGGAGCTCTTACCTGCCTAATAGCAGCTGGATAGATCGAGTATCAGCTTTGGAGTCATGTTCCCAAAATTTATGTTGTTCATCTGGATGAAGAAGGTGATCTCCAACGTGGTCTGTAAGATGATTCCTAGGCAAGGTTTTGAATCTAAAGTTAGGGAAGAATAATTTCCCAGTGGCTAATAGATTGGAAAAACCTAAACCATAACGAATTCGGATAAGTGATGGTATAAGAGTGTTATCTAATAGATTGGAAAAACCTAACCCATAATGAATTCAGGTTAGTGATGGTATAAGAATGTTATCTAAAACTGAAAATTTAATATACTTTAAGCTTAACAGGGGGAGCTCTGGTGGTTTAGTGGCAAGAACCTTTCCTGCAGTCCTGAAGGCAAATGGTTCAAGGCCACCAGCTGCTCCATGGGAGATGGATAGGCAATCTCCTCCCGTGTGATTAATTGCTTCTGAAATCCTGCTGGAGGATCAGCTACGAGTTGGTTCCAACTCGACGGTACACAACAACAACAAACAACAGAATTCCAGAGGAAAGAAAAACAAGAATATACTGAAACACAAACCTTACCTTCCAAGAACTTGAGACCTGAAAGAACTAGATGGAGCCCACTTACTATGGCTGACCACTCTTTTTTTATTTTTTTAACTTTATTTCAACATAATTATGTTTACAGAAATAGACTCATAACAGTTAATAGAATGCAATTTAAATTTAACTTATTCTTCACAATTTAGAACAAAAACTTGGTATATGGTTTAAGGTTTTAAAAAAAGGATTTGTAATCTAGTTTCTTTTTCATCAATTACAAATACAAATATATAAAAGATCCTCCCTCAAATGCTGCTAAAGCAGGCAGCAAGAACCATGAGAAATTTACCTTTGGTTCGCTTCAGTTTACAGTACTGAACTGTAAAAGTTTAAAAAAAAATTGGTAACAACAATTTTGTTGTAGTTTCTATGCCAGCTTACAAAGTTCAGTAAATAATGAATGTGTACATGGGTGCTGACCCCTCTTAAGAGGATCACAGTAGAAGATCCTGCATAGAGTAGGGGAAATTTGGACCAAAACTCAAAAGTGCTTATAAACGGCCAAGTTTATTGACCTGATAGAGACTGGTAGCCCTTCCATGGATCAAAACTTGCAGCTCAACTTTCAGTCAAACAGCAGACAGGCCTATAAGGAGCTCTGGTAGACTAATGGTTACAAAGCTGTGCTGCAATCCAAAAGGCATATGGTTTGAGGTCACCAGCTGCTCCATGGGAGAAGGACGGGTAATTTCCTCTCATGTGATTAACTGCCTCTGAAAATCTGCTGAGGGTCAGCTATGGATCGGTTCTGACTCTATAGTACACAACAACAACAATAATAGTAATACCAGAGAGACACTTCTTAGAATAACCCATGTTGAATGAAAGAGCACTGTTTTTCTAAGGGTAAAATCCTGAAGTCAGAAGGTTAATGGAAATAAGAATTATTGGGAAGAAGCAGAAAAATGTGATCATACTATGGGTATTATAATTGATGTTATGAAACAAAATATGTATGAATGCTTACATGAAAAACCAACAGACTTTGCAAACTTTCATTTGAATCATAATAAAATAAAGAAATAAAGTTAACAGAGACCCTGGGTGGTACAAATAATATGTTCTATTGCTAACCAAAAGTTGGAGGTTTTAGTCCACCTAGAGTTACCCCAGAAGAAAGACCTAGTGATGCATTATTGAAAAATCAGCCTATTTCTACTCTGACATACATAGATCACCATGAGTCAGAGTAGATTGTATGGCAACTGGAGCTGCTTGGTTTTTGTTTCATTTTAATTAAACTTAACAGTTGTAGTTGTTGTTATGTGTCAATGAGTCAGAATGGGCTCATAGGCAACTTTCCAGCAGGTTTTCAGAGGTGGCAAAGTGCACAGGTGGAGAATGCCCATTTCTTTTCCTCAGAACTGCTGGTAGACGTGAGTCATTCACCTTTAAGTTGGTCACCAGAGCTCCCTCTAACAGTAAGTAGTATTACCTTATATAAAAGACTTTACCATTAAGGTTTTTTCCCACATTACAATTTCATTTTATTAAGAAAAGAAAGAAAGAATACCCAAATTTATATAAATAAGGTTCATTAGAGGAGTCTATGCATGTACTATGTGGCAGTAAACATTTCCATCCTAGTTTATAATTCTTTTCCACTATAATAAGAACTATTTCCTGAACACTTCTAAGATGACTTATTTTATAATGTGACAAAAACCCAAGGGTTGAGAATTATGAAGAAATAAACTGTGAAGTTCATTACTTACTGTGTTGGTGCTCTAAAAGAATCTTCCTTCATAAGAGGATGAACTTCATCCAACAACATGCTAGTATCTGGGCTTGATTTCATTGCAGAAACCACCATGGCATTACGGAGTTTATTGCCTTGTTCTAAGAGAGCTGAAGGTAGAAAAACAGAATATGAAAAATCTAAAATCCATCAGAAACACTTGCAAATGTTCAAGAAATTTCCTTCTATTATGGGACTTACCACACATTTCTCTGCCTTCCTCATTAGTTCAAGAATTCTGAGGATGTTAATATAACAATAGCTCACTAAGCCACTAATATGTGCACTGTTTTAGATGCTGGCATCACAGCAGAGAACAAAGTCTCCATTCTGGAAAGACTACCTCATAGGCATTGTTAGATCCAATCCCTAAATTTGCAATTGGTTTTTATACATAATAGGGCTAATGATATCTATACATTCCATTTTTTATTAAGCACTTAATGTAGCTCTCTTATTATCTGTAAGTTTTAATGCTGTTCTTATCCAAGAAATATTAAGAGCTGTATCAATTAAGGGAACTTCTGGTGGCACAGTCCATAGGGAGCTGTACTGCTAACCCAAAAGAGACACTCCTCTGGCGGTTCAAATTCTCTAGAAAGATGGGCAATCTCCTTCCATGTGAATTCCAGACTCCAAAGCCCACTGGAAGATGATGTGGGTCTTGCTTTAGTTTTCGGCAGATGGTTTTCCAATTTTGCCAGCATTATTCATTAAAGAGGATGTTGTTTTCCCACTTACAGATTTTGTCTCCTTATCAAAGATCAGTTGTCCATACATAGACGAACTTATTTCTGGGTTCTTGATTCTACTCTATTGGTCTAAGGGACTGACCAAGGCAGGAGCTTCCTGAGTTAAAGACAAAACCAACCCCCTGTTCTAGGACAATATACCCTTGATTCTCACACTGAAGCTGCCTCTGATACAGATGTGGTTATGCAAACAACGAAGGCCAGCAAATAAACACCTTGGAGTCAGTCCAGTTAACATATTTTACTGTTTATGTAATGAAAACTTTGTATCATAATGATTGTAATTATATAATGACAAACTTGTCACTAAAAGCTTTGAGGACTACAGGTCATGAGGACACAACCATGAATTCCTCTCCCCTCACCTCTTGACTAAGTAAGTCCATTCCAATTATGGTACTTTCCTGCTGGTCAGAGAAAGTGTGACAATGCTATCTTGATTATTACTTGGCTGTGTAGTAGATTTGAGATCAGGAGTGTGAAGCCTGCCTACTTTTTCTTTTTCAGTAGTGCTTTGGCTATTTGGGGGCTCTTTCCATTTTACACAAAATTGGAAATTGCCTTTTCCACCTCATTGACAAATGGAATTGGTATTTATATTGAGTTCAATGAACTTGTAGACTGATTTTGGTAGACTTGTGTTCAGAATACTGAATCTTCCTCTCTATGAACAGAGTACATTTCATTTTTCTAGGTCTCTTTTTTTTTTTTGCAGTAATGTTTTGTAATTTTCTTTGTATAGGTCTTTTGTGTCTCTAGTTAGATTTATTCTCTAGTATTTAATTTTGTCATTAGCTATTTTAATCAGTGGTGTTTTCTTTATTTCTTTTTCTGTGTTCTCTGTTACTATAGAGAAATCCAAGTGATTTTTTCATGTTGATCTTGTAGTCTGATATTTTGCTGGTTGACTATGTCTAACAGTTTTCTGCTGAATCTTTAGGGTCTTACCATGATTTTTAAAGATTAGAAAGCAAGCAGATTAAAAGGAAAATCAAGATGGAGCCTATGGTCCAATACTGCTTCCCTATCCATTAGCTTACTTTGCTATGTGGATGAGTGGGAATATGTGAATAGTGTGTGTTGTGTGTTAGCCTATCTACAAGGGCAGTGGCTGGTCTCACCAATTCATAAGGGGACTGGCTGGTCTCACCATTAAATTGAGCAGATCTAGCAGCAGAAAAGGAAAAACCTCATTGTCAACAAAGCAGCAGCAAGAGGATGTATCTTTCAGGAACAGAGATTCTTGCACCAGCCAGATGAGGACCAATGGGAGCAACAGCCATAACAGCCACAGGATAGAACCAGAGAGACCTGACATGAGACGGAGCAGACCTTGGGACAGCTACTCCCTTGAACCAGAGCTAAGAGCCTTTTGTACAAGTTTGTTGCATGACTGTGGGGAGGAGAGCTAATATTGGCTGAACTGAGGGACTCCAGGCTGAGGTGCCTGTAAGCATATTTTAGAAGATGTCCTAACTGAACTCTGCTACTAATCTGAAGTACAGCCTTTTGACTCCCTCAATATAGTACTGTGTGGTCTGTGAGCTATCACATTGGACTTTGGGTCCAGTAAAACAGTAAGATTGGTTGAGTAGAAACAGATGTGGGAGTGTGGGAAACATGTCTGACTTTATGGGGATTGGTTTTTTGTTGATGTTTTTGACAAGAAAATTTCCCCTTTGTATAGATGGTAAAGATCAGATAGGCTGTTCCCACACGGCCCTTGCTCTTTTTATAGAGAATGCTCTTGGGACTTTTATATCAGTAAAATTTACTCTATTCCAAATAATATGATGTAACATTTACTAATCTCCTAATATGTATTAGGATCCCCAACTACACAGTGGTTAAATGATTTGGTTACTAACCAAAAGGTCAGTGGTTCACACTCACTAGCTGTTGGATGGCAGAAAGATATGACAGTCAGCTTCTGTAAAGATTTAAAGTCTTGGAAACTATAGGGAAATTCTACTCTGTCCTATATGGTTGTTATATGTGGCAATCAACTTTGTAACAGTGGTTTGGTTTGGTTTACCATGTGCTAGACACTATTAAAAAGTTCTGGTGATGTAGTGTGTACTGAGCTGTGCCATTAATTAAAAAGTGGCACCTCTCTAGAGGTTTGAATCCACCAGTGACTCTGTGGGAAAAAGACAGGCCATCTCCTCCTGTGCAATTTATCACTCCCTAAGATGATGTCAGTTTGAAGACTAAGGTGAACCTGATTCAGGGAATGGTCCGTCCAATCACTTGCTATGCATGTCCGAGCTGGATAATGAATAAGGATGACAGAAGATGAATTGATGTCTTTGAGCTGTGGTGTTGGAGAAGAGCGCTGAACATCCATGGATAGCCAAGAGAATAAACAAATATGTTTTGGAAAGAGTGCAGCCAGATTGTTCTTTGGAGGCAAGGATGATGAAGCTCTGCCTCACATACTTGGGGCATGCTGGAGACAGATATGATGCTTAGAAAGGTAGAGGGTTGACGAAGGAGAGGAAGACCTTGGCAAGGTGGACTGACAACACAGTGACTGCTTCAATGGGCTCTAATGTGTCACGAAGTGTGAGGACGGCATAGGCTAGCACACGGTTTAGATCTTTCTTTTTTTTTTTGGTTCAGATCTTTTGTTCAAGGAGTCACAATGAGTCATACTCGACTGACAGCACCTAAAAACAACCACCCAACAAAATTCGCTAGAAATGATGGCCGAGAGCTGAGCTGAGGTACTATTCTATGTATTTCATCTTCATTAACTCATTTAATCTTCTCGGTAACCCTTGAGATAGGTAGTATTATTTATCTTATTTTGTAGATGAAGAAGCGGTAATACGATATAGCCAGAATGATTCTACATTCTATGCTTTCTAAAATTTTTACATTCTATGCTTTTAACCTTTGAAGCAGGAGTGGCATCCACTTCCATAATAGCTTGCCTCTGGAAACCCTATGAACCTGGAGAAAAGATGAAAGTTATACAGGAGGTGTCCAGGACTTTGGTTCATAGGGTCGCTATGAATCGCCTGCGACTCAACGGAACTTAACAACAACAACAACATGCTTTTAGCTGATATTCTACATACGTTCTCATGTTATTTTGTTAGGCTTCCTTTCAAAACTAACAAAATAGAGGAAATAATGAAGAGAGCCAAGGAAAGGATTTCAAAAGGGAGCTCAAAAACAAAAAGTAATGTATCATAATGAATTGTGCAATGAGACGGAGTTAGAAAACCAAGCAGCGTGTATGTTCTACATTTCTCAAACTGAAAGAACTAAAGAACAAATTCAGGTCTCAAGTTACAATACTAAATGATTCTATTGGCAAAATAGAAGATACAGGATGTAGTAAAAGAAAATGGAAGGAATATACACACTATATTAAAAAGCACTGGTCAGCTTGGAATCATTTTAGGAAGTAGCATATGTTCAAGAACCAATGGTAATGAAGGAAGTGAATTACAGCTCAACATTGACAAAATTTCTCACCACTGATGAAAAGACAACATCATGATGGGTAGGGAAAAGACTGAAGCTGCCAATGATTTAATTTAATTTTACTTGAGTCTACAATCAATACCCATGGTTGCACCAGTCAAGAAATCAAGAACTGAGGGGTCCTGGCTAAAAAAAAAGGAAATCAAAAGACATACTACATTGTGAAAATGAAATCAAAAGACATACTGCATTGCAGTCAGGAACCTCTTTTAAGTGCTAAAGAACAAGAATGTCAGCATAAAGAGTAAGGTACATCCAAACCAAGTAATTGTATTTTCAGTTGCTTTGTACGCATGTGAAAGTGGAACAATGAATAAGAAAGACTGAAAAATTGATGGCTTCAACCATGTTGTTGGAAAAAAACACTGAACATCACATGGACTGCCAAAAAACAAACAGATCTATCTTGGAGTTAGTACAATCATGGCATGTATTAGAGGCAAGGATGGTGAAGTTTTGTCTTATACACTTTGGGCATATTGTCAAGAGGTACCAGTCCTTGGGAAAAGATTTCATGCTAAGATAAAGTAGAGGCTCAGTGAAAGAGACTTCAGCATCCTGGAAATTTTGAGGATGATACAGGTTAGGGCAAGATTCCCATCTTTGTTCATAGGGTCAATATGGGTGATAGTGGACTTGCTAGAATCTAACAACATTACAATCCAGTTAACTATTGGGATAAGATTTTGGAGATGTATTTAAGACTATTTTAGAACAGGGAGACTTTCTTGGCAGGATGACTGGATTCCAGGATCCTTTTAAGATAGATTAAATAGATTCTTGTCTAGCTCTTTGCAGACACTCTTGTTGTTGTGTGCCATCAAGCTGGAAATGGCTCATAACTGACTCTTCAGCAGGTTTTCAGGGGCTGTAAGTCGCATGGGAGGAGACTGACTATCTCTATCCCGTGGAGAAGCTGGTGAATTAAAATTGCATACTTTTGGGTTGGCAGTGGAGCTCCTTACCACTTGGCCATAAAACAGGAGAAGGATATATTGCTCCTGGCTTGATGATAATCACATAGCAAGAAACGCAGGTCCACTTTCAGAACTGAAGAGTGGTGGCTCATGATTGACAGCCAGCACAGAAACAAGATCTGAGTTCTTATAAACAAGTAACTAAATGTTGGAACACCAAAAAATGAGTTTAGAAGTAAATTCTTCACTAGAGCCACAAGATGAGAACTTAGGATAGTTCAATACCTTGTAATCAATGAATTCACAGCACCCAAAAGTTCTGTCCTAGGGAACCAACTACAAAAAGCATAAAATTGGTGTTAAGCTACCAAAAGAGTTGTAGTTGTTGTTAGGTACCATCAAGTCAAGTACAATTTATAGCAACCCTATGAACAACAGATTTAAACACTGTCCTATCCTGGTTCACCTTCACCATCTCTGACACACTCGAGCCCACTGTTGTAGTCACTATGTTAATCCATACTATTGAAGGTCTTCTTCTCTTTGGCTGACTCCCCACCTTTCTAAGCATGATGTCCCTTTGTAAGGAAGAGCATCTCCTAGCAACATGCCCAAAGTATGAGAGACTAATTTTTGCCATCCTTGCTTTTAGTAAGTACCCTGATGGAACTTTTTTTAAGACATATCTGTTTCTGAAAATCATCCAGAAACGTCTAAAACAGTACACAGAGAACTTCCAGGAGTTTAAGCTGGGTTTAGAAGAGGCCCTGGTACTAGGGATAGTGTTGATGTCAGATGGATCTTGGATGAAAGCAGAAAATACCAGAAAAATGTCTATTTGTGCTTTATTGGCTATGCAAAGGTATTTGACTATATGGATCATAACAAACTATGGCTAACACTGAGAAGAATGAGAATCTCAGAGTACTTTAATAAGGTAATATGAAACCTATAGCTGGACCAAGAAGCTGTTGTATGAACAGAGCAAGGAAACTACATCCTTTAACATCAGGGAAGGTGTGTGTCAGGGATGTGTCCTTCCTCCATATCTAGTCAATCTGTATGCAGAGCAAATTATTCCAGAAACTGGACTCTGTGGAGAAGAATGTAGCATCAGATAAGGGGTTTCGTAAACTTGGGGCTTGGGAAAATATACAACTAAAATGAGTATTGTTTGTTGCTGCAACGTAGGGGAGAAAACCCAAAAGGTTATGTTTGCTGAAGTTCAGTTAGAACCGATAGGTGAAAAGCCACTTTATGACCTGAGACAAAAAGGTAGAGAATGAAGATGAAACTGAGAATTTCTTTAAAAGTTTATGTATTGGTGAGCTCTGGTGGCCTAGTGGAAAGAAGCTGCACTGCAATCTCAGAGGTGAGCGGTTTGAATCCACCAGATGCTCTGCTGGAGAAGGAGGGATAATCTCCTCCTATACCAGTCAGATCTGATGGTACATAGTCAAAAAATAAGAATAATTAAGGGAGCTCTGGTGGCCTAGTGGCAAGAAGCTGCACTGCAACCCCAGAGGCAAGCAGTTCAAATCCACCAGATGCTTTGCTGGAGAAGGAGGAGCAATCTCCTCCCGTACCAGTCAGATCAGATTTGATGGTACGTACACACACACACACACACACACACACACACACACACACACACACAAAAAGGTAAGAAAAAGAAGAATTTTTTTAAAAAAGTTTATATACTGATGTTTTTCTTTTTCTGTTGTAATACTGGGATATATTGTAAAAATGAGTATGAAGGACATGCAATGTTAAGATATATTTTAAAAACAATTATGTTTTTTGTTGATTTAACTGTACTGGATATGGTAGATAGAGAGAAAAAAAGGAATGCTGGATGTTAAATGACAGCAGAAAGAGTGTAGATTATAGAAAGAATGTTAGTCCACCTTCAGCTAATGATTGAATGGATATGTGAAAAGGGGAAATTTGCCCTAAGGCAAAGCTTATTGAAAGAATTTGGTGGTGAAGAAGAATGCTGAATATTCCATGGGCTACCAAAAGAACAAACATGTCTTGGAGAAAGCACACGCAAGGTGCTCCTTGGAAGCAAGTATGGCAAAATTTCACCTCACATACTTTGGGCATGTTGTTAAAAGGAGCCATTCCTTAGAAAAAGAGATTATGCTTGGAAAGGTGGTAGGTCAGTAAAGAGAGGATTCCAACAAGACGGACTAACACAGAGACTGTAATAATGGGCTTGAGTATATCAGAAATGATGAGGATGACACAGGATAAGACAAGGCTCAGACTCACTGTCACAGTGTTGCTATGAGTCATAATCAAAATTGACAGCATGTAACAACAGAATATTTGTATGGCTAAGACTCATCCAACCAGTTAGACTTCTATTCAATAGTTCCTTCCTAAAACTTACAATTATAGACACCTAGCAATTATTAGTTACTAAGAGGTTCAACACAGAGCTTTGGTGGCTTAGTAATAAGGAATTGCACTGCCAATCCAAAAGTACTTGGTTCAAATTTACCACTTGCTCTGTAGGAGAAAGATGGGCAATTTCCTCTTATGTGATTCACTGCCTCTGAAAATTTGCTGCAGGGTCAGCTATGAATCAGTTCCGACTCAATGGCACACAACCGACGACGAGGTTCAATAGAGTTGTCTTTAAATGGTAAGATTCTAGATGTATCAAGATTGCTCATTTTAATTTGGGTATTTACATTCCAAATAGAAGTCTTTAGTTTTCTTTATAGGGCAGCTAATAAGCAGAACAATCCCAACAAATATAATTTAATCTCAGCTCACACACACACACACATACCTGAAAGAAGGTCCTTGGTAGGAGGGTTGTTTGAAAAAAGAATGCATGAGTCATTATGACTCTTGTCAACTGTCCTAGTTTGAGGTTGGAATTCAGAACTGTTGAGAAGAGACATCTGTTTTCGTGATGGTTCACCTTTCAGAATTATAGATTCTAAACTCTGTCCTGGGTTAAGATGGTGTTGCTGTCCAGAGAAAGAGTGTTTTATTTTATTATCAGAATTATCTTCAAAATATGAGCGGTCCTTTCTCCTGTTTTTTAAAAAAGAAAGAATTTTAGCAATGTATTATCCATTATGCTAACTAACATCTACTTTGTCAGACACAGAAAGTGGATTGATGGTTTGCATTGGATTCTGAATGAGGTGATTTAATTGGTTTGTGACTTTTTAAGTTTGTTTTCCAGTTCCCAAATGAAGGAGATAATAGCAGTTTTATCCATGGGTGTGGCTTAAGCAAAATAATGAAAACAAGAGGTCAGCAGGGAACCTGATACAAAGCAAATGCTTAGCAAACAATTACTTTTTTTAAAAAAAAACCCACAAACTCTGTTTCTAGTATACTATTCTATTTCACAAAACACTGTCCTTTCCTTTTTTCTTTCCCTCATGGCTATCATGGCATCTATAGATCATTAAGTTCTTATTTATTTTTACATCTGCCTTCCCACAAGTTGATGGTAAATCTTTGAAATAGGAATAATGACATGCAATTTCTATATCTAGCACCTATTCCAAGACTATGAACATTTACCGAATGCATGTCTCTTTCATTTCCTTTAGTTTTTTTTATCCAACAATAAATGAAAAGGCAAAAATTATGGGGAAAACAGTGGGAGCTATAGGATAGATTGGCTAATATTAGGTGTGTTTATTACCTGATAATGAGCTCTAAGTTCTGGTGGAATAGTGGTAAGGAGTTACATTGACAACTTGAGGATATACAGTTCAAATCCACCAGCCACTCCACTGGAGAAAGATGGGCAATCTCCTCCTGTATGATTTATAGCCTCTGAAAACCCACTGGAGGATCAGCTTTGAGTTGATTCCTACTCAATAGTACATAACAATAACAACAACATTACCTTGGTGTAGTTGGCCTACTGATGGTTGCTAACTCTTTTCCATCAGTTTTGGTGAAAGAAGTCATATGTGGCCTGGGTGGAACCAGAAATTGAGTACTTTTCGGTTCAAAATTCTCTCTGAATCCCTGCTCAGATAAGAGCATGTTTTCTGTCATGTCAGTGGTAGGAAGAGGATTGTAGCTGTCATAAGTTTCTGACAATGGTTCCAGGGCAAGTGAGACCTGAAAGAGAGATTAAATATATGAGAAATTGTCTTTATACTTGATTAACTTATTTTAAGACTCCCTTGCTTAATATGTGGTGAGCTCTAGTGGCATAGACTATAGAGTTGCTCTGTTAAGCCAAAGTCTGCACATTCATCTGATTTGGATCCACCAGCAGTTCTGCAGAAGAAAAATGGGCAGTCTCCTCCCACTGCTAATTCAGAGCCCTGGAAACTTGGTGGAGGGCTGCTGTTAAATTGGAACTGACTTGGTGGCAGTGAGTTTGCTTATACAGTTATTTCCATTCCTTAAAGGATTGAATTAAAATTTAAGCTTGAATGCTGGCATTATTTTGGAATATATTCTCCAGGATACTGCTCTAGGCTCTTTGTTTTATTTTCTTTTCCTTTATTATGCTTTTCTCCTATGTCAGAGGACTAGTTTTACTGTTTTATGCATTTCACTTGGCTCTGATTTGTAGCAATCCTCTGACTCATAAACAGTGCCATGATACATAGAGAAAAGATAACATTTTCAAGAATTTTACTTGGATCCACAATATGAAAGTAGCAGTCTAAGTCAAATTATGCTTTAACACTGGGAAAATCTGTTGGAAAGAACCTCTTTAAAGTGATAAAAGAGAAAAGGACTTTGAGTACATAGGACCCCTAAGCCATAGTATATCAGACCCATGCCATGGTATTTTTAATTGCTTCATGCACATGTGAAAGCCAAGCAAAAAATAAAGAAGACTGAAAAAGAATTGATGCCTCTGAATTGTGGTACTAGCAAAGAATACTGAATATACTATGAATTGCCAGAGAGAGTTCCGTGTACCTGGTGGCTAAGGAGCTGCGCTGTCATCCTGAAGGGATATGGTTCAAATCCACAAGCTGCTCTGAAGGAAAAAGATGGGCATTATTCTCTTAGGTGATTTACAGCCTCTGAAAACCCCATGGTGGGTCAGTTATGCATTAGTCCTAACTTGATGGCACATAACAACAACAAAAATGGAATGCCAGAGAACAAATAAATATGATTTGAAAAAAGTGTAGCAAAAATGCTCTTTAGATTGTCAGAAACAACTATAATTGGTAGCAAGTAAATGGAAGCCAGTGGTACAACTAATCTGAAGACATGGCCTTGAAAGGGACATAAACAGCAGACTATCTAGAAATTTAAAATAGAGATCTAAGAATTAGCACAGCCATGCTGTTGTTGTCAAGTCAACTATGACTCATAGACTCAAGCCTATCAGAAATTATAGACTCAGTCCTCAGGAGAGGAGGGCAAGGTTCAGATATATTGTTTACAGGGTCTTATGAATCTTAGCACAATCATGTTGTTACTGTTTTTTTGTGCCTTCAAGTCAGAACCAACCCATACCTGACTCTCCAGTGGATTTTCAAAGGCAGTGAACAGCATAGGAAGAGAATTCCCATCTTTTTCCTGAAGAGCTGCTGGTGGATTCAAACTGCATGCCTTCGGGTTAACAGTGTGGCTCCTTATCACTAGACCAGCAGAGCTCCTACAGCAAGGTTATGTTGTTGTTATGTGTCATCATGTCTCCTGTGACTCACTGCAACCCTGTGTACAATAGCTCTGAACCCTGCTCTATTCTGAGCCAGTGTCACTCACTCTGACATATCATTACCCAGTTTCTGTATCAGTTCATCTGGAGTCTTCCTCTCCTGTGCTATCCCTTCACCTTTCCAAGCATGATGTGCTTCCCTAAGGATGAGTCCCTTCTGGCAACAGGCCCAAAGTATGTAAGATGGTACTTCAAAATCCTTGCCTCCAAGGAGAAACTCTGTTTCACCCTCTCTAAGACAGATCAGTTTATTCTCTTGATGGTCCATGGTATGTCCAAGACTCTTCTCCAGCACCACAATGGAAAGGTATCGATTCTTCTTCTCTCATCCTTGGTCATTGTCCAGCTCTCTGATGCATAGCAAGTAACTGTGATGACCAATGCCTGGATCAGGCTCACCTTAAGTCTCTAGACTGAATCAAAGCTCTTAAGCACTTTGTAGAGGTCCCTATAGCAGACTTCCCCATTGCAATTCATCTTTTGATTTCTTGATTGCTGATGCCAAGAGTGTTGACTGTGGAGCTGAGCAAGCTGAAAGAGTTCATACCCTCAATCTCTTCTCCATCTATCATGGTGCTGCCAACTGGCCCATTGGTGAGAGTCTTTGTCTTCTTGATGTTGAACTTCAATCCATACTGAAGACTACAGTACTTAACCCTCTCCAGCAAACACTTCAGGTTCTCTTCCATTTCAGCAAGCAAGGCTATGTCATCTGCATAACACAGATTGCGGATAAGTTTTCCTCCAATCCTGATGTCACATTCCTCCTCCATCCAGCCACCTGAATGATCTGTTCTGCATTCAGACTGAAAAGGTAGAGACAGGACGCATCCCTGATGCACTCCTTTCGTGATTTTGAACCATGCAGTATTTCCTTACTGTGTTCTGATGACTCCTTCCTGGTCCAAGTACAGGTTTCTTATGAACACAATCAAGTGTTCTTGGATTTCCATTATTCTCAAGGTTAGCCACAATTTGTTATGATCTACACAGTCAAGAGCCTTTTTACAGTCAATGAAATACAGATAGACATTCTTCTGGTACTCTTTGCTTTCAGCCAAGATCCATTTGACACTGGCCTGGCTGACAAGAAAGGTTTCCCGAATCTCACCATATGCCTTTATCTGACTAGCGATACAAAACAGGGAATACATGAAGTGCATAAACAAAAATTTGGGGAGAACTTGTAAATTTCATACTCTGCATATATTTTGTAGTTCAAATACAGATCTATCAGCAGATGATAGAAACTTTACTAGTTCAAGTTACAACGGTAACCAGTAGAATGTTAGGCTTTAAAAAAAAGTCTTAGAAACAGGAATGGCCATGCTTTGTCTCACATACTTTGGGCATGCTATGAAGAAGAATCAGTCCTTGAAGAAAAATATCATGCTTGGTAAAGTAGAGAGTGAAACAAGGAAGACCTTCAATGAGCCAGGATGGCTGCAGCAGTGGGCTCAAGGACAGCAGTGACTGTGAGGAGGATGCCGCATAGAGCAGTGTTTTCACTGTGCAGGGGTTGCTATGAGTCAGAGCAAACTTGACAGCAACAAAGCAGCAACAGACAGTCCTTTGATACAGGAGGGAAACATACTAAAGGGATACCAAAAGAATACAAAGAGGCTAGACCAACATCTTCAAGATGCTATCGGAATATATACTCCAAAAGAACACCAGAGTTCAAACTCCAATAACAGAAGGAACTGTTTAAAGAAGCCAAGAGGCAAATTATGATAAATGACCTAACATAACAATGAAAGTCTGCCATTAGTTATTGTTCGGTATTTCTGGGAAGGACAATTCTATAAATTATGCAGGCAGGGTGCCAACACACAAGCTCAATAAAATGTACCTGACTCGTGATGAGAATTCTGTTCATAAACCCAGGTAACATAAAGTCCTTTAAATCTATTAATCATCAAGATTTTTCTATAATGACAAATGAAAGGAATGCAGCCAAATAAGTACTCTGTGCAGTGATCATTGTAACAGCATCACACAAAACTCTGGCAAGCCAAATGAAAATGTCACAAACTGTTCCCTCATTATTCATCACTTGCCAAGTGACTACCATTGGTAGTCTAGAAACAAAAGAGGCTCTGGTCCTAACGGCTGCATCTCTGATCTTAACAACAACCTGCTGACTGACCATTGAGTTTTGCTTTTTCTTAAGCAGGCTTGAGCCACTAACAACATAACTAAAAGATTTAGACTATCAGTGGTTGGTCCTTGAAACAGCATTAGAGAAAGTACGGGTATCTGCAATATCCATCCTTCAACGAATGAACAGGGATTGTCCTAACTCCTCTGTTCAATTAAACAAATAATTACTGATGATGTCAGTTCTGTCCCACATTTTATGCTAGCTGCCTGTTGGCAAAAAATAAAAACAAAACCAAAAAGTTTCTTCCTCCTCTCAAACACATAAAGAACTTGACCCAGGAGATCATAAGATTTCACAAAGGAACTTACAGCATATAAAGGGAATACTTTATATACTAGGTGAATACTAAAAGGGGGTTGAGGAAGGGGTAATTGTTTTAAAATAGGTTTCTTTAAATCAGTAAAATACTCAAGACTTTCTATATGGTTGCATGTATTAATAATGCATGTGGATGCAGCAGTGAGGCAAACCCAGGCAGCGAGGCTGACCGCTGAAGTCTGAGTGAGAGAAGTCAAAAACAACTGTTGGAAAACATCAACATGCCAAGGGCATTTGTAAAAACAAGACCAGCACTGCAGGAAACACTGAGAGATGTCCTTCTTATGGAGGTGCCATAGAAAGCAGGGTGGACCAAAGTAACTAGCAGCAACACCAAAAAGAATTCAACAAAATTACAGAAATAAAATCTGGCCCCTCAGCAATCACACTGAATGTAAAAGGTTTAAATGCACTACTGAAGAGAAAAAGAG